GAAGTAGAGCTTAAATTATAATTATTTTAAAAAAAAATATGATTCCTTCGCTACATAAGAGTTTTCATGTTTCAAAAACGAGAGCAGAAAACCTCAATGTAATTATTAAAATTATATTGAGTTAAAGTATCATCCTCAAGCGAATATATATATATATATATATATATATATATATATATATATATATATATATATATATATATATATATTTCCTAAAATATCTTTAATTATTTTTTTTCACCTCTCATTTAATTTTGATTGCATTTTGAATTAAAATCCACGCAGCACAACATCAGGCGAGCCAATCAAAGTTGAGGGTCACTGTTAAAATGAATGAAACGTGCGATATGAATGAAATAGCAAGGGCTATCAATTAATATTATGAGGATAAGAAGGATAGACAAGGTATGCAGTACTTTGTATTATATGAAGATTATTTCTGGAAATTTTTAGAAACTGTAGTTGATACTATTTTTAATTAAAATCCTTGAGAAGTTATGAATTAAAAATATAATTATTATTACGTCTTGCCTTTTCTTTGTGCAAAACTAGTTACCCCTATGCCTCAGCCAAATATTTTGAGAGGCAAACATTTTCTTGTTTCAAAAGATGTAAACAGATGTGTCATGCAATCAGGCATAAAACATACAATTGTGTTCAGTGCATGGAGAGAAATGCACACATGATGTGAGACGTACACATAAATATGAATTTTCTCGATTTATATATTCTAAGGTGATCAGGAAATCTGTGACATATTTCTTTGCTTCTTCATGCGGAAAAAATAGTGGTTATTATTATTATTATTATTATTATTATTGTGACAGAATATTTCAATCATTACCTCATTAATTCAAAGGTCGGTCATTATATATCCTCCTTATCCTCATATTCTTTCTTTCCTACCTTCCATCTATTCATATCAGACAACTCATTCATCATGGCCATTTCGAGTGAAAACCTCTACTTTCAGTGGCTCTCGGGGTTTGTATTGGGTTAAATTTATTTAAAAAAAAAACAACTGCAAACTTACTCGTGATACGCACGGTATTTTTTAAAATTATTTCCCCCAAGCAAGGCGATAAAGCCACTAAGACACAATGAGTTACGGACAGTAAAAGAAACTGTGAAAATCTCCTGAGGAGGATATTAAAAGAACACGATTTAAGAAAGCAAAGAATAACAACTGACGCTGTAAATTTTTGTAGATCGTAGTGGATAGGAGGAGTTAGAGTGATGGATAGTGGCTCGGATTGAAGAATCGGAGAGCCGAGTTCGAATTCTAGTCGAATCCATTACATTCACTTACATACCTTGGGAGAGGTATGAATCCTCTTCTTCTCCCCCACACCAGCTATGGGTAAATAGCAGGACAGACCAAGTTCTATATCCTTGGATGGCAGAAAGAAATGGCAAAAAATCTGCCTCGACAGTCATGCATCGAAAGATACATGATCGCCTAAGCGTGTATCACACATGGCACATAACTGACTGAGTAGATAGGAAATCAAGAACCCGGACAAAATTTCTACAAGCTAGAATTGCAAGTGAAGAAACTCTCACTATAGAACTTGCGGTTGCACTTAATTTCAAAAGCAACATTATGAGACCTAGCTGATAATCCAGTACTGCGCTTAACTTCGTGAAGTTAAGGTACTAATTGATTGATTGATTTTTTACGGCTTATCAACCATTGACAGGTTATTTAAAGCCAAAAATGCTTTTTAAATTTTAAGATTTTTTTTTTTTTAGATAGTAATGGTTTAGTTATAAAAGTCTTACTAATTAACCCATACGTGCGGGAGAAGAGCTTGGTTCATGCCTTTCCTAAGGGTATTTACGCGTAAATAGATATAAAGAACCCAATTGGAATTTGAACTCGGCTCTCCGATTAACAATTCAGAGCCATTGAACAGTAACTTTGTGAAACTTAGCTGATAATCTAGTGCTACGTTTAACTTTTCAGTTAAAATCTTTCTAAAAAGTATTAATTAAAAATCTAAATTAAATTTTAAAACGAGAAACATCTTTGTGCCGCCTGCATTTTATATGCAAGGGCAACTTCCTTGGGTTCACGAATACAAATGTCTCGACGATAGCTGAACATCTGTTAAAAAAAAACAGCAATGTTACTGAACTTATACCTAAGTCTTGCTCGGAGTACGGAGGAAAGCTATGTTTATTTATAAAAATACAAAATGTTGCACAAGGCCAAAAAGAGGAATGGGGGAAAAGGACGGTCTTGTTCTGCCTTAACGTTAAACTTACCTAGCCACAAACACTGACCCAAGCATACAAAGAATATTCCTAACACCAAAACAACGCATTCTTACTTACCTTTCTTACTACATTCACCATAATACCTCATTGTCTCTATGAAAGTCCTAACTAGTCCCGATTTGTATGATTCATTGTCTGTGGGGGAATAAAATAACAATTTCAAAACTAGCCCCATTGAATATTTACCAAAAAGTACAAGACTATTTACATGAAACTAAACAAAATAATGTTACTAATAAAAAAAAACAAAAAAAAAACACAATCCCTAAATGTGACAGAAACATCAGTTAACTGGACGAAATCAATGTGGGACTTAAAATAATATAAAACGTTCATTCATCCCAAACACATACTCATTCAGACGCAACAACAACGAAAGTAACACCCGAAACGAAAGGCGCCTCGGATCCACCAAAAAACAAAAAACAAAAAAAAAACTGACATCATTGACCACTTAACGAGGTTGGGGATGGGGAATTAAATCATAGAAAAATGGGGTCATATATATATATATATATATATAAACAGAGGAGACGTCATTTTACCTTGAAGGAAACCCTTTTGGCCAACACTTTAACAAAAGTTTGACATAAATAGTGTAAATAATGATAATTCAGACAGTAATTTGATAGTAAATACACTATTTACATTAAGCCCGATCAGCCATCTCTCTGTATGCAGGAATTGTTGTTAGGCTTAAATATAATTATTCTGTAATTGTTACATATATATATATATATATATATATATATATATATATATATATATATATATATAAATATATAAAATTTAGTCTTTGATCTTCATTTTAGTCGCTGTTCACATTATTCGTTCTCGATTGGGCTCGGATGTGAGAGGACACATAAACCACTTCAGATGTTTTATTGTTAGTAGTGCTTAATATTATCATTCTATAGTAATGCTAACTTTTCTGGTGGGTGCAACTTTTTGTTAATTTTACTTCTTTTCTCTATATATAAAGTGCTGTGACTTCCGTTTGTCTGTCTGTCTCACCCTCTAAAATTGCCATACATTGGCCGATGAAAACCAAATTTTGCGGTGAAGTGCAAACGCACTTCTCCCCAAAATTTGTTAAGTGGGCACAAAGTAGAGTTGGATTTATTGGCTTAATTCAACATATTTTCATTATTTTTTTAGAAAAATTAAAAGCTTTATTTAACATACAAAATAACGCCCCTACTTAAAAAAAAATTAATGATTAAAATTAAAAAAATACTTATTTTTAAAAAATGCAATATTTATTTGTATATCTAATTTTAAATTTTTTATATATACAAGAATCCATTTTCTAGTTCGCCCTGTGTTTGCGAGAACTATAAATAAATCACAACTCCAAACACTTCAAAAGTTGGGATTTGGCTACAGAAAGAAATATTTATGTATGCCCAGTTGTATGTTGCATGCTCAAGAGTAAGAAATCCTAAGAATTTATTCTTCACAGTTGAAAAGGAAAAAAAAAAAGAAATTTTCTTAAAAAAATTGTTTAATGAAGTCCAATAAAAGTAAATGAGTTTTTTCCAAAGTATTTTCGAAACAAATCAGCTTATTCAAATATCATCGATTTGTTTGCAAAATTGAAAGAGGCGAAGAGTTTATAAAATTTAACGATAGCTTCACCAATACTAAATACTCTGAGGATTTTGCAAAAACATTCTCGTGGTTTAAGACGTCCGTTTTTTTAGCTTAAATATTTCTTTGTAAAACGGCTTTCTTTTCTTTTTTTCCTACGGATTACAGTTGACGAATGCTGAAGAATGAAGCGGCCCAAATATTTGCTATCAACAGCAACCATACAAAATAAGTAAAAATAGAATCGTACAAACAATTTTGGACAACAAACTTAGTAGTCTCGCAAAAGATTACCGTATTTTCCGGCTGAGAAGATTCTACGGCTTCGAAGACGCAGCCTAATATGTCATTCTCACGCAATAACACATTCACCATGTGTCCCTCACAAACTGACAGCACGTATTGTTTACATTAATCACTCGTCTGATTTTGTTTGTATGGCAATGACATTCTAGTCAAGAGCAGAAAGGTTCCTGCCGCTGCTAATAAACAGAACGTGTTTATACTTGTGGCTCGGTCCCAGGAAGGTTTATAGTCTTGGAAATGCTTTTAACGGCTTAGTACTGAGGTTACATCATATAAAAGGCTTAACTATATAGGTAGCTAACATTATAGTGTATTGACTCAACATACAAATCCACGTCCCTATCAGCCAAGCCGATTAAGTGACTGTCCATACTTACTTGAGACTGGACGTTGCCTTACATTTGTCTTGGAAGACGCACACGTATTTTTCAGGCTATTTTTTAG